CCCATCGGGAAGGAGGACCATTCTGGCCTCTCGGCTTCGGTTTCCTGGAGCGGAGGCTTTGGATCCCTTTCGATGGGCCTTGGCTGCCTGAACTTTTGGAACCAGGCCTTGGATGAGAACCCAAACCCGCGGATTTCACCGGCTCGCGCGCGTTGGATCCGAGTCGCACGCACGTTCTCTTGCTTTTGCCAACTCTGCGTGCTTCCCCCCCAAAAAAAAACGGTTTCCACTTTAGGACAACATTTGCCCAAAGAAGAAGCGTGTATTTGCGCCAACCAAACGCCCAAGTCCCCCCACCGAGTCGGCCTTTTTGAGTTAGCATCTCGCGCGGGGCTCAGCGGTCCGCTCTGGGACGCTCGGAGTCCGTGGGAAATTCTTGAGACTCGACTCCGACTTCGACTTCGTCTCGCGTCCCTTGGACTCCGTCCCTCCAGTTCGGCCCTTCATTTGTTGTCGGGCGTCGAAAGCCAAGGCTCTGACTCGCAAGCAGATCCAGTTGAAATCCGCGCTGACCAAAAATTCAGCAGACATTGGATCTGGAAGATTTGCGAGGTCTGCAGAAATTCGCGGCGATCAAAAAACACGCTCCCAACACAAATGCAAGGGTTTTGTCCAAGAGGAGTCCAGAGAGCTCTCCCATAACCTGCAGACCTCAGAGGGATTTCGCCTGTGAAGTGCGTGGACTTTGTGTTCAGAAGCGTCACACCTGGATATTTAAGGACATCCAAAGTGCTTGTTGCCCCCTTTTTGGACGTGACGTCTGGCGTAGAAGGAACCCTCATGTCTAGTGAGCGCCATGGATGGCGCATGATGAGGACAATCCTGGAAGAAATTGCCCACCTTTTGAATAAAACCAGCGGCTGTCTACGAGAGCATCATTTCCTGACTTCGAGGGGTCCAACATGTGCCTGGCAAAACCTCAACTTCCGGGCAAGGCCTGCGTGGCGCCACAAACTTAGATGTGAGAAGGACCCCGGTGAAAAGGTGCTTCTTGTGGCAAAAAGTGGGCCCCGAACAACGTGGTTGGCGTCATGTTGGCCTCTGTAACATCCCATCAACCCATGACACGGTTTCCCTACTGCAATCTGATCAAAGTCCAGCAAAGCGGCCACTGCCCGTTGGGATGGCTCCGCCAAGTTCACTCCACTCCTATTGTCAAGGGCCAGGAAAGGACCCCAAAAGCTTCCTATGTCCCAAACGGTGCTAAATTCAGCACCGGGATGCGGCCTGGCGAGTCTTGGAAAGGCCTTGACAATAGGAGCTTAGCGCCTACGCCTCCGCCATCGCCTCCTCTGGAGGGCGATAAGACGAGCACCGAGTCCATCGGCCAACAGTTTTAAGGAACACCCCATGCTTATTTTTTATAACCTAGGCTACGAAACATAAATGTCATATGTAGCCCTCATACCCCATCATGTGATGTATCTATATATATATATATATTCATACATATACATATATAGATATGTACTAGCGTGAACCCGTTGTTTCCAACAGCGAACCGTCCATTGGAAGACACGTTGTTTGCAGATCGAATTTAGCAAGAACATTTTCTCTTTAAGTTTCTGTTTCCTCATCCATCTTCCTCGTTCTGGTCTGTTGTCCAGCACCCCGAATCCCCCCAACTCCGCGGAAAGTGGCCCTCTTAATTTGCAAAACATGCTGGGCCTCGGACGATGCCTCCAGCAAGTCCCAAAGTTTCTCGGACAGTTTGGGACCAAGCGTTTGTTTTGCAGAGTGGAAGATAAACATACAGTTCATATGTGCCTGGTGAAAACCTCCAGGCCAGAACGCGTCTGTTTTGTGTTTTTTCGAAAGTCCCGCATCCTCAACTTCTCATGTTGCCTCAAGGGAACCCGATTGCCCAGTGACCCTGCCAAAAACGAGAAGGGTTCTTTGGGCAATTTTGATGGACCCCGCCAAGCAGAAAGGAAAACAGGGCGCCACTCAACAGGGGAAGATGACAGCAAAGCCCCGCTGTTGAATCCGCCACTTGGGCTCATGGCTTAGACAAGCCTCTTCTGACCCTAGCTACTAGACAAAAACATCTCAAGCGCTTCTCCCCCCTCTTGCTGTTTGATGGCAAATCTCCCCAAAAGAGCGGGGTGCCCTTGATTTTCAAATTTTACAAGGGATGGGCATGGCAAACTTCCTGATACCGTGGGATCTCGTCGGCCGGATATCGTCGGCGCGCGAGTCATGGCTTGCCCCCATCTCGCTTAGGATCCAAGGGGCCAAGACTGGACGTGCAGGTAAGATGTGGCGCTGGGATTCGGCAACACTCGGAGGGGTGTCCTCAAATTTGGGGACCTTTTGAATGTTGGGAAACCAGCAGGAAACCAAGCATGTGGGGCTTCGATTTTTAGGAAACCAGCATATTGAGGCGTTGTCAAGCCAAACCTTAGGAACGGCGACTGATGCTCAACTGCAGATACGTCGAAGTAACGGCTTTGGCATCGCATCTCCAGTTTGGTCACATCTTTAGATGGCCAGACCTTCATGCTGGCACAGGATTCGCGTCGCCACAGTCAGCGGAGCAATTCGCCCCGGGCACGGTGGAGTGCAACCTCTGCAGATTTTATGGAAGGGAGGTCCCAACAAAATATCCGTATAACCACTTGGGTGTGGCTCAAAATTAAATAGGGGGGATTGCGCAGGTTTTGGTCCAGGTTTCCACTTACCAGGGTTCCATTGTGGTACCGGTTTTTTGCGCCACAGCCACTTGAGTCGCAACCCAAGGAATCAAAGCGATTGCCGCTGCTATGGCTGGGTTGTGTAGCTCCGGCTCACTTGGGCAAGTCAGTGTTTTTGGAAGGTAGCTTTTGGGGTGGCCGCAAGGAAAGCCATGTTGGGCTTCCATATCCCAGTGACAAACTCACCTGACAGCGGCCACAGTTGAAATTTCGCAGCCATACGCGTCATAATCAAACATATGGCAATTTACCTGGCATCTCCGCCAAGAAACGAGCTCTAAAGAACCCAGGAGTGAACCTATCTGCAGGGGGACTGTTCGCAAGTCTAACCTTCCATCCGAAGCGGTTTGTTGCCTAAAATAGGGGAGCCCGCAAGATGATACTGTTTTGGTTACCTCTTCAACCTTACCGAAAGGGGGGGTCTGTACACCCCTGGTCACGTGTCTCCGGTGCCAGACTGCGGGCCACTTGCTGCATGAAACCGCTTTAGAATCTGCCCGCTTTACAGTTTGGCGAACGCCTCAGTCTGCGATGCCTGTGCGGACGGCTGACGGCATCCGTCATCCGTTCTGCTGACAGCCGAAAAACGGGGGCGCAGCCAGTTTGCAGAGCCATGCATTCTCAGAAAAGGAGAAACAGATGTCAGGGGGCAACTGGGTAGAACAACTTGGCAGAAAAGGTACAGGCACTTTGACGGGGACCGCTTGGTTTTTCCAAGACTGCCTAAGGTTGTTTTGAAGCAAAACGCAACATGAAACCGGAACGATTTGTGGGATCCAAAAAGAGCCTGTATGGTTTTCTGGTACATACGTAGATACCTCAGCCACACAAATACAAGGCTGAAACCAATCGACTGCAGCCACTTCAACATGCAAACTCCAAGCTCCATGATAGCAATACTGCATTCATGCACACGTTGCATTGTGTTGGCAAACTGAATGTGTCTTTGCGGCCTCCGTCAGCTGAAACTGTGGCATATCATCGGGAAAACAAGGACATGGAAAAAGATTGCGTAAACAAGACAAACTTGGCAGCTGTAGCCAAGTAAAGGCAGCACCCAGCACAATTTGGCGAATGCGGACCGAAAAGCAAGAGTGCAGAAGCCTGGTCAAATACATCCATGGCTCAAGTGAGAATGACGAAGGCGCTTCTGCGTTAACACAGCCAATGGGGCAGACGTGCAAACTCCGCTTTCTTTGCAGACCATTACCTATGCTCGCGATTTCTTCGGCATGGCCAGGCCCAAATGATTGCCAAGGTTTCCTTTCTGGCTGCAGAAGGGACAACCAATGCTATATGGCCATGTTCAAACCAATGGTGCCATTTTGGGATAGGTGCACCACCCATTTTAGTCTATTTTAGTGGGGATTGGGATGTTCACTGGGGGTACGGGGTTTTGACCCATGGCCATATAGCTTTAAATGTTCCAACGCGCACTCAAATCCGCCTCGGAAAACTCTAAGCGGCCAAGATGCTTCCGAATGCGCCTTCTCCCAGTGCCACCCTGCGCGCTCCCAGCAGCCAGTAGAAACGGCGTCTGGAAAAGTGGGGTGTCGGTGTCAAAACTAAAGGTCACGCTTACTGCCGGATCAAGGCACTTCGTTTCGTCTTCTCCAACATAGTCAAACAGACCTTTGTCCTTACCAAGAGCCTCATACCAAAGGCGCACTAAGTCCGGTCCAAATACTACATCATACTACACTCTTCTCTATACATGGCCGTGTCTCAAAATAAGGCACCCAACCACATGGCGAGCTTCCTTTTGGCTTCCCTCAAAACAACCCCCAAAAAAGGGGACAACCTCATACGCGCCATCAAACTCCGGGTGAAATTTAATCAAGGACCCTTTAGCACGATTTCGGTTGCGGTTCACGTCTACCAACCACTCGGTGGCAACCAGCCCAATTCAAATTCATAGCTACACGCATTCGGAAATCCGCGCCTCGGCATCGATGCTCCTTAGCCCGATGTGGCCGGTTGGGTCCATCGCGAGTGAAACCTGGAGATTTCCATGCGATGATTTTGCTTTTGGCATCATTCCTGTTCTTAGCTTGCAGAATTAGAGAACCTTCCATATGGGGTTGATCAAAGGTCCTTTACATGGGGTGACCATTTGGGGAAATGAGCTATATGCCAAAATGGCTTCGGTGTTCGTTTTGGTGTCCATTTAAACAAACCCCCAAAAAGGGTACCCTCAGCAAAAGACACACCATGAGCTAAACTCGAAACAGGTGGCTGTGGTCAACCGCGTTTTTTTTGGGGCTTGCAGCCAGGCCGCGTGTTTGCCTTTGGGCAGACGCGGAGCATTCACTTCTTCTCGCCTTGGCTGGACAAATTGGTCAGTCTGCAAATGACAAACAAAATCAAGAAGGAGCACCGCATGGACTCCTCAAAAGAATTTCGAAGGGAAATGATTGCCAATCAACGTGATGCGAATACGGACTGGATGCGGTGATTCAAACAAATAGACAGAAAGAGAGAACATGAGAGTCACACCACCAGCGAGGTGACGCTTGGCAAAACGGAGTTTCCCAGAGGACTGCCCAAACTTGCTGGCTTGCCTATTGCGGATCGAACAGCCCTATCCACCACAGAACAAGAGCCATCTGGGCATTGTATCTCACCCGTTGAAGTTGGAGTCTTCAAAACAGCCCGGATGTGATGTTGCACCGCTTAGGCTGAAGTCGAACAGAACGAATCCTCTTGGGGGGGGGGCACCGGGGCACCTCCCGTTCGTGATTTTGAAAAAGGCCCTCTTCGGTCTGCAGGACTGGGGCAAGACAGTTTCTGGTCCAACAAAGAGACCATGCTTTGTGGGCTTGTCTCATCTGGCAACCCTCCGACATGGGCTTCCCAACACGCCCCCAGACCACACGGGACTCCGCACGCAGCGAGGAGAGGTCCACATAGACCGCGGCGGGGCAGGAAGACCGTGCTTGCGGGGACCTAACGGGGTCTTCAGGTCTTCCCCTTGTCATCAACACGCTTCGGCGGAGTTGATCCGTGCGTCTCATGCTGTTTGTCGTTTAGGATGCTTTCGTGCGCGACGTATTCCCAAAATAATCATGGACCAGGCCAACCGCACGCGCAAACAGGAACCAAAGCTGGGTAAAGAAGAAGCCTCAAGAAAAGCAAAACTTGCGGTCCATCTCCCAGTCCGCCTCCCACCGGCGTCCACCTTGCGGGCCACAGGCGGCTTGGGTGGCCTTGGCACAGCCGCAAACGAAGCTTTAAAAACAAGGAGGCGTCTGGCTCAAGGTGTCAAAGGTTCGCAAAGGGCCTCGCCTAAACTCAAATGCGGAGGCTTGCTCATTTTCGATTCGTCCGACGGCACACGGCGCACGGAACAAGCGGCGGCTGCTTCTGGACCGTAGCTGGCGCTCCTTGCAGCAGAGTAGGCCTCGTGCCGACCCGCGTCGCTTGGGGAAAGCGTCCTTTTGGAGACACACCCAAATCGAGACGGCTCAAGGGGAACCGGGCCCACACACAACGATCGAACGCCCATTGGTCGCATCAAGCAGAGATGAGTCAACAACAGCTTTGTGTTGAAGGACTCTACCCGAAACAAGGGCGTCTTCCTTTCCGGTTGGGACTGTCTACTGAGTCAACTGCCAAGTTTTGATTGGAAATCCACTGGAATACGTTGTCTGCTTACCAACCAGTGAAAATGTATAAGAAAGGCTCGTAGCCTTTCATTGTAGGTGTGTACCATGTCATCTCCCCATACGTTAAGCAATGTGGATGGGGATGCAGCCTTCTCTCAAGGGGTTGGCCTACACACTTATGCCACACCTCCCAAGGCAAGCCCTGAACAACCTACAAACAACTCTCACAAAGATGTGGGCTGCTTCGGTGCGGACTTGTTGGGCCCCAAACTGCCTTCAAACCCCCAGTGTATCTCTGAGGGTCTCACATATGTGTGTATATATATATACACATGATGGGTGTGTCAGTTTTTCAGTTTTCCTTTTAGTGTCCGTTACAAGCACCAAACAATCACGGGTACCCCAAAAAACAGACGGCACGCCCGTCCCTCCAGTGGCCCATCTCGCCCCCGCCGCCCCCGCTCGCCGGCCGAGGCCCTCACCCGCCGCTGGGAAGGGACATGGGCGCCGAGGAGACCTCGGATCGAGTTCTTCGCCGCAAACAAAAAAAACGCGCGAGGGGATAAGAAAAAAAAAATCACGCCAGCATAGACCCCAGAGAGCAAGAGAGTGGTGTCAGCCAACGCACTAGACACACGTGCCACAGCCGAGGTTTTTTCGTTGATTTGCTTAAATTCGGGAGGTGTCCTTGACAATAACCTCACAAATATGGAGGTGCACGCCCGTTCAGTATACCCATATGTGGAAATGATATGGTGAATGCATACTAGGGGGTGTCCTTAGTATCCCGATGGTGAATCGTGAGATACCATTTGCAAAGTAGACTTTAGATAGGGTTTATTATAAACAAGCAAAACAGGGGGTGTCTTTAGCCGCACGGTAAACACTGTGCATGGTTGCGAAATCCATTTCGCACCACGAAAATGAAACCATGGTTGAAACCATGGTTGGTTGGCATTTACGTGGGAATCGAAAGAATGTTAGACCCACATGATATGCCCCCCACTAGAGCCCTAGTTGGGGTCGATGGCTGCAAAGAAGCCTTATATTGAGCCGTCATGTCAGCGTGGTCGAAACATGCTCTTCTGGGAGAAAATGTGTGAGACCCCCATGTCCCGACCCCAAATTGGCTGTGAGTCAAAAAAAGAAAGGCAGCCAAAATGGAACCCCGACAAATGGAATGGAAGAAAACCTCTGCCCGGATGGCCTAACTTGGACCAAACCCAATTGAGCATCAGGCTTCGGTTCTGCTGAACGGGCAGTGAGCCCATGCTCCCCCGCCCCTGCCGCCCCGTGGCCCCGCGGCCCCGTAGAGCCCCGCGGCCCGGGCTGGCCACGGCATGCCCTGCGTAGGGTAGGTCACGAAAGGCATCTGCTGCCTGAGCAACGGCCCAGATCTCCCTCGAAAAGCCTTGGTCCTGCGATGCAAAAGCCTGGCCAAACTTGATTTCGCCCACCTTTTAAAAACAAACAGCTCCCAAGAACACAAAAGGTCACGTCAGGATGGTGGCTGGCCGCGTCAACTGCCAAGGAGTCCATTCCGAGTCCAAGCAGCACTCCCATCTGCATCTGCTGGTTGGTCGCTTGGGATGGCCTCACGGGCGCCTCTCTCTTTTCCGGCGCCCACCAGTCTTTTGGAGCGTCCACGTATTTGACGACGGGACAGAGGTTGGAGGTATTTTGGAGTGTACTTTCAGAGCCATGTATTTTCAGGGTCTTTTGAAGGGTACTTGCACAATGTTTGTGTGGCGAAGTTGATTGAAACATGTTGCGCCAAACGTTGCAACAAACATTCACATGATAACCAAATAAGGGCCCTAGTTGTTGGAATTCCGTGCCAGGGGAGTAGTTCTGGGGAACTCACAATACAAGAGCCAGTGTTGAAACGCAGTCTTCCCGATATGCGCAAAAACAAATGAGTGAGTTCACGGAAAGATTGGTGAGTCTGAGTTTCCCTAGCCCCAATCTGATCAGAGACTATTGTTGTTTGACAGAACACTCGAGGGTGATGTTGTTCAGAACCGGGTCCATGGGCGCGCTTGTCAACATCAGTAGGAAAAGGATATCCATCAAGGATTGATCATAGCTGGATTTGCCCAATTGATCGCTGGCTTGTGTTAAAATTGTCATCCACGCCCTCATCTCATCCCTTAAGGTGACATCCTCATCTTTCCCCTTCTGAATGGTGGCTGAAAAATGCCAGGATAGACGTCGCATTCAAAGCGAGCAAGTCCATCACAAGCGCTGGGTTGCCGCGCGGCTTCTGCGGAGGCTGCGTGGGAGGGCTCTCCTGGAGCTCATTGCCAGAAGCTAGGGAATGAGTTAGGGAATGTCTCGACACCAACCCGTCTCCAACCAGGCAGGTGAAGAAAGAATCTGGTTTCCACTTTTGGGCACCTTGGATCCAAAAAAAGAACCCGCTGGTTGTTTGGGTCCGCCTTTGTGGGGTCTGGCCCATCGGTCTCAACGCGAATCTGGCAGGGCTGTAGACTACCCTGCTTTTTGCAGCGTCCTCTAAAAAATGAGAAATCTCTCCATGTCTTTTGGTGTTTCCCGTAAACCTGCCAAACAAAAAGCCACAATCGCAAAGGCCCAAGCCCTCCCAAGCCCCCCCCCAAGCCCCCCCCCCCTTCCGCCCCCCGCTCCGGGGGAGGTGTCTGCGGAGGGTGCTCTGGCGGCTGCGTGCGCGGCATGCGGCTCTCCGCGGGGCCTGGCCACTTGTCTCGCGGGGTTTGGTCCCTTAAACATGCTTCAGTTCCCCTTAAACAAGCCTTGGATGCCCAAAACCTTCCCAATTTAGCTTCCTGGAGGATAACGCTTTGAAACATCCTGGGATCCAGCTCAATTTTCCCAAGCCATCGACTTGACAGCTATTTCGTGATTTGACCAAAGCCCATGGTTTGAAGCTCCTGGATTTTTTGCGTTGTTTTTTTGGTGTCCCAAGTTGACCGGGATCACAGGAAATCCTGACTGATTTTTTCAGAATAGGGGGCGCCATTCTCAGCTGTTTCAAAGCTGGGCCGCTTTGGACGCTTAGGTACCATCCCACCAACAAGCATGGCCCTAGAAGAGCCAACAGTAAGGAGATTCGCTCGAGCCCCAAGAAATTTTGAGGTGCAACCGGGTGCCTGTCAAACTCCGCGCCCTCTACACAGCACTTATGGGCCAATCACCAAAAAGCCACGACCAAAATTGTCTATGCTTGGAAAGCATCACGCGAAAATGGTTCTTTTAGCAATGTTATCCATGACCATTGCGAGTAATAAAGGCCCCCCTTGTGGCAGCCCCGACGGGCAACCGTAAATCATGAATCCAAGGATTTGTTTCCAATGCGGCAAAACAACTCGTCGGATCGGACCCCTTGTCATTGCGCCTGTGCCAGCGAAGAAGCACTGCTGCTGCGCGTGCGCACCATCGAAGTAGGCAGACATGGGGGACATGAGGCCCTCAGGCGATCGAGATCAAAGACTATGGGCCAGCGGGGGGACCACGTTTGTCCACCCCTAAAACATCTTTTGTATTACTTCTGATGGCCTGACCATCATGGCGTCGCGAAAAGCATGACCTCCTGTGGCCAGCAGGCCTGTCTGACGAGCCCAAGCCAGCAATGGGCCCTGGCTAAGCTCACTCAGCCCAGACCAGTCCAGCTGCCCAACCACCTGTCTGGCGTGCTGAGACTAGCCTCTTGGTCCTACGCATCGCCTTGCCCGGGCCGAGGCGGGCAACACGCAGCGTTTACAAATGTTCTGACCGTAGTTGCCATTTGTTTGGGGGTTCTCTGGAAGAAGTGTTTTATTATTTTCTGGGCATCGTGACCACAATGGGCCAAAATTATTCTGACCGTAGTTGGGTTAGCGATTCGATGGCCGACTCAGAGCCGATTGAATTGTCGCGACCTCATGCAACGACCCTGGTCCAATTCGGGGTTGCGACAGACTGCTGCCTATTGAAATCTCGCGATTCCTATAAAATCCAGAAGATTGGTTAACCGGCAGGCCTCGGCAACACAAAGCGAAACAAACATTGTAGAAAAGATAGCAACGGAGTTTAACATTTCCATATGGGTCTGGTCCCAAACCACACCTAGTTCACTTCCCACCTGCCTACCTACATTACTGCCTGAACCAAGATTGCTCGCTTCCATGTGTTAACCTCACACTCGCACAACAAAGCAACCACGCAACCAACTCCTTGGATCCCAAAAAAATATTCCAGGGTACAGCCACCCATGAACAACTAATTATTTGTGGGGTCATCGGGCCGAGTCATCGGGTTGTTCACCTTGCAACCATCAAGGGGGGACCCAATACTACCCCCCCCCCAACAATGTACCATATATATACACATATGTATACTTTTGTATATATTTTCCACGCAAAGTACGCCAGACAAATTATTCCAATGGGTGACGCGGTCCCCCGGAATATGTTTTTAAGGGGGGGGCCATCAAAGACTCGTTTGTCAAACACGCGAAACCGCTGAAAAACATGCATGCTGTTCTGCCCGGATGGCGGGGGATACGTGGGGAATTTGGTAATTGCGAGCCGTTTGGCGCAAAACGACGACCACCACCGCCACCACCACCGCCACCAACACTACCACCACCATCACCACCACCACAACACCACCAACACCACAGCACCACACCACCACAACGACAACGACAACGACAACGACAACCACAACCACAACCACAACCACAACCACAACCACAACCACAGCCACAGCCACAGCCACAGCCACAGCCACAGCCACAACCACAACCACAACCACAACCACAACCACAACCACAAGAACAACAACAACAACAATTAAAGGACCGGATAACCCCACATGCTATGTTTTTCCCAAGGATGTGAGTTCAAATGTCCACACACATGTACCGTGCGCAAGTGGTTGTGCTGCAAGCTTGTGGCAGGGCTCATGAACATCGCGGAGACAACTAGCATGCGTTCTGTCACCTCATCCCGCAAACAACTGCGCGAACCTTTTTTTACCTTTCTTGCTGCGCTGACCTTGGCTCGGGCGCAGCTCATGCCACACTGACTGTCAGTCCCGGCAGCAATGCTTCGTGCGGACGCGTCGCGTCTGTTTTTCGCCAGCTGCGTAATGACGACACTGAACAAGCTCGGTAAACTTCTCAATCCGAGTTGCGTGGCTCAAACTGAAGAATCTCGATGCGTGGCTCGACATGCTATTTGCAGCAGCTAACGGCCAACATATTGCTTCAAGGTTAGCTACTGGTTTTGCCAAGCAGAGCCACGCTTCAAAGGATTCGGACAACATTTCGCTGTGATAGCTGCGTCATGCTTCTCATTCCGAGTCGCGCGGCGCCCAAAAATGCAATCACAGCAGCTAGTGTCGAACATTGTTTCATGCCTGCTCTAGCACTGGTCTTGCCAAGCAGAGCTCGTCTTAAAAGGGGTTGGCATGCTGTCTCGCAGCGTGCGCACTCGCTTACCGGGAGTCCACTCACTGGCATAGCTCAGAGCAGCAGCCGCCGTCTGCTTGGAGATGATGTGAGAGTAGTACGCGTTGACAGCCAGCACCGCCTTCTCGTGAACCTCCACGTGCCAGAGGACAGACCACTCATTCTCCGCGTCGGCTTGCATGATGACCACTTGGTGGACTTCACCTGGCCGTGCTCGGAGGATCCAATTCACTGCAGACGCAGGGCCTGCTGCTCGGATTTTGCTCCGGAAAGGCAAGAGGGTTTCAGCGTCGGGCACTGACAAGCAGCAGTCCACCGAGCGCTTGACTCGCATGGCCGATGCAGATTGCGGGTCTTGCTGCAGAGACTCATCATCTGGCAGCTGGACTTCGTTGAACATGACGAGCGCTCGCACAGACGGAGCGTCGATCTCTTGAATCGTCAAAGAGCCCAAGTCTGTGTCCACGCGTAAGTCGCGCAAAGCAGCAACCGGGCAGCCGCCGCCCAGAGAGCAGCGTGGAAGCTCCAGCATGTGGGGCGTCAGGTCCGGGCAGTCCTGGTTGAAGGGCAGGAAAGGCGTCAGATGGCGACACTCCAACTCCAGTATCTGCTGGTAGTCGTTCTCCCGAAAGGTGACTTTGCAAGTCCACAGTGCGCTCCGGAATGCGTTTCGCACTTCGGACCGCAGCTCTGCAGTGTCTTTGCAAGGATTCGGCAGCGAGTAACCCTGCTCCTGCAAGGCCAACTCGACGTGGTCGTGGTAGAGCACCATGCTGCACTGGCAGTCGCTATCCGCGAACACAGCGCGCAGGGCCACGCGCTTCTCTTCAGCAGCATCTGGATGTGCCTGCACAAAAGCTTGACAGATTTAATTTTTCATGCTGAATGACATTAATCAGAACATCCTGATTGACATTTCTGCGTGCCTGGCAAGGGAAAGCTCTCTTGCACGTGCTGCAGCTGGACAAGATCCACTCGTCCGTTTCGGACTTGACCGAGCTCAAGCCCATGATCTGCAGTCCGGAGACGAGGAACACAGTGTCCACCTTCCGCAACTGCCCGGGGACAATCGTGCCCACGAGCGCGCTCAATGTGCTCTGCACTGCCTCGCATTCCTTCCAATTCCTGGTCGGAATGAGAGTGAGCATGCGGCAGTCGCCAGGCTCCATGATGCGCTCTCCAATGTTCTTGGCAAGCTCTTCAGGGCACTCCAGAATTTGAGTGCCTCGCCAGCTGCCAATCTCCCATGATCCTTCCTTTTTCTTCTCCACCAACACTTGGTAGAGCAGGATGCAGGTTCCAGCCTGGCAGGTCGCAGACTCGCCCGGCTGAAAGGCAGCGCAGTCAGTGAGAAACAGCTGGTGCAACAAGGCTGCAGGGGAAACGTAATCCCAGTGTCCGTTCTCTCCTGAAAGCTGCAAAAAAAGACGCTGCATGCACGAAGCCAAAGGGCCTTTGGCCGGCGACTGCCTTGAAACATCTTCACGCAAAGGGCCGCAGCTGTAAAAGCATTGCACTACTGCATTCAAATAGCAGCTATTGCCCAAGTTCCGCAGACCTACGTACTCTTGGCCGCTGGCCAAGCCGGAGGTGTGCCTTGGGCGACTGCCGTAGTCCAGGCGCCAGTGAATGCCAAGACCACGCAGCCATTCAGCATCTGACTGCAGGGCCAAAGCTTCCGTGGCAAAGTGCTCCCGCAGCAATGCTTTCGCAGCGCCCAAGACCCCAGCGCAGCCAGGACTGCTCTCCAGCCTGCGTGCTCGAGTTGCCAGAGCGTTGGCGGCAGGCGTGCCCCGAGCAAAGCCATCGCAGTGCCCTTGCCGCAACCACTGACTAAAGCAGTCCAGCACGGTCTGCAACATGGAGTCGACCATCTTGCTGTCGTGCCCAGCAGACGAAGCGGTGGGATCCACTCCCACAACGTCCTTCTCCGAGTTGGCCGCATCTCTCAATGCTTGCCCCGCCGCCGCAAGGGCAGACAAACCTTCTTGGGCAACGTCCTGCAAGTGCGCCAAGTCGAGCTCAGCCTCTCTCACCAATGCTCGACATGGCCCTCGCACTCGTGAGCCAGCTTTGCACACGCACGCTCGCCATGCGCCTTTGTGGCGTTCGATCGGCATCTTTGGCCAAGCGAACACGTCTCACACAACGATTCTGCCATGCGATCGAACTGCTCAACATTCTTCTGCAAACTTCTGACAACACTTCTGCAATCTTCTGCCAACTTCTGACAAAACTTCTGCAAAATATAAGTTCGTGACCCTGGACACAAAGCTTCTGCGAGCCCAATCTCAACATCCAACAGCTTGCCTCACAATGCACCCTGCCTCATGTACTCACAGCTCTGCACTTACACAAGCCTTGTAGACGACCCTTTAGACATCCGAGAAGTGTTCCAGTGAGTATGAATGCCACGATGACACAAAAATCTGACACAGAATGCAGCGCCTGCCACGACTTCGGCAACGGCATCGCCAAAGTGCTGCGCCTGCCACGATTTCGCACGCCCCCCGCCGCGCGCGCGACAACATCCTGTCCCTCTAGACAGCTGCCGAATGCGACCCCTGCCACACAAACACACACCCAGATGCACAGAATGCTGCGCCTGCCACGACTTCGGCAACGGCATCGCCAAAGTGCTGCGCCTGCCACGATTTCGCAACGGCATCGCCAAAGTGCTGCGCCTGCCACGATTTCGCACGCCCCCCGCCGCGCGCGCGACAACATCCTGTCCCTCTAGACAGCTGCCGAATGCGACCCCTGCCACACAAACACACACCCAGATGCACAGAATGCTGCGCCTGCCACGACTTCGGCAACGGCATCGCCAAAGTGCTGCGCCTGCCACGATTTCGCAACGGCATCGCCAAAGTGCTGCGCCTGCCACGATTTCGCACGCCCCCCGCCGCGCGCGCGACAACATCCTGTCCCTCTAGACAGCTGCCGAATGCTGCCGACAGCTGCCGAATGCACCCCTGCCACACAAACACACACCCAGATGCACAGAATGCTGCGCCTGCCACGACTTCGGCAACGGCATCGCCAAAGTGCTGCGCCTGCCACGATTTCGCAACGGCATCGCCAAAGTGCTGCGCCTGCCACGATTTCGCACGCCCCCCGCCGCGCGCGCGACAACATCCTGTCCCTCTAGACAGCTGCCGAATGCGACCCCTGCCACACAAACACACACCCAGATGCACAGAATGCTGCGCCTGCCACGACTTCGGCAACGGCATCGCCAAAGTGCTGCGCCTGCCACGATTTCGCAACGGCATCGCCAAAGTGCTGCGCCTGCCACGATTTCGCACGCCCCCCGCCGCGCGCGCGACAACATCCTGTCCCTCTAGACAGCTGCCGAATGCGACCCCTGCCACACAAACACACACCCAGATGCACAGAATGCTGCGCCTGCCACGACTTCGGCAACGGCATCGCCAAAGTGCTGCGCCTGCCACGATTTCGCAACGGCATCGCCAAAGTGCTGCGCCTGCCACGATTTCGCACGCCCCCCGCCGCGCGCGCGACAACATCCTGTCCCTCTAGACAGCTGCCGAATGCGACCCCTGCCACACAAACACACACCCAGATGCACAGAATGCTGCGCCTGCCACGACTTCGGCAACGGCATCGCCAAAGTGCTGCGCCTGCCACGATTTCGCAACGGCATCGCCAAAGTGCTGCGCCTGCCACGATTTCGCACGCCCCCCGCCGCGCGCGCGACAACATCCTGTCCCTCTAGTGAGTGTGAGTGAGTGAGTGAGTGTGAGTGAGTGAGTGAGTGAGCGAGTGAGTGAGTGAGTGAGTGAATGAGAGTGAGTGAATGAGAGTGAGTGTGAGTGAGTGAGTGTGAGTGAGCGTGAGTGAGTGAGTGTGAGTGAGCGTGAGTGAGTGAGTGTGAGTGAGTGTGAGTGAGTGAGTGTGAGTGAGTGTGAGTGAGTGAGTGTGAGTGAGTGTGAGTGACTGAGTGAGTGAGTGAGTGAGCGAGTGTGAGTGAGTGAGTGTGAGTTGAGTGAGTGTGAGTTGAGTGAGTGAGAGTGAGTGAGTGAGTGAGACGGAGACGAGCGGGAGGAGGAGGAGGAGGAGACGCGGCGCGCGGACGACGAGCGGAAAAAGTAAGAACCCCACACAAAGATGTGGGGAACAACAACAACAACAACAACAACAACAACAACAACAACAACAACAACAACAACAACAACAACAACAACAACAACAACAACAACAACAACAACAACAACAACAACAACAACAACAACAACAACAACAACAACAACAACAACAACAACGACAACGACAACGACAACGACAACGACAACGACAACGACAACGACAACGACAAACGACAACAACAACAACAACAACAACAACAACAACAACAACAACAACAACAACAACACAACACAACAACAACAACAACAACAACAACAACAACAACAACAACAACAACAACAACAACAACAACAACAACAACAACAACAACAACAACAACAACAACAACAACAACAACAACAACAACAACAACAACAACAACAACAACCAAACAACCACAACAACCACAACAACCACAACAACCACAACAACCACCACAACCACAACAAACAACAAACAACAACAACAACAACAACAACAACAACAACAACAACAACAAACAACAACAACAACAACAACAACAACAACAACAACAACAACAACAACAACAACAACAACAACAACCACAACAACCACAACAACCACAACAACCACAACAACCACAACAACCACCGCTGCCACAAGAACGCACGTACAATTCGCCTCGGCCCCCAGTCCCGGGAAGCGGTCAGATCCCTCTTTAGATCATAGGGACCCAACTTTGAGTGGGTTTTGCCTGCTAGCTGCTAAAAGAGGCCCACCCCCTCAGTTTTCACTTGGACTGCATGGCGCTTCAACTCAGCCAGGCTTGGCCCGTAAGGCAGTCAGTTCTTGGGCTTGCCGTTGACTATGGCCACACGCTGGCCACGCAGCCCAGCTTGCCTCCCGGGCAAGGGCGCAGCCCCCGCAAGTTCTTGGGGCTTGACCCAGCCCTTCTTGGGCCTGGCTCCAGACCCTTGCCCCCTGTACAGTTGGAGAACCTTGACACACAGAAGTCAAAGAAGAAGATACAGAGAAAAAACAAGGAGAAAGAAAGAGAGTGGGATTGAGAGCTCTCGTTGGCCCAGGGCGCCTAAATCATGCTTCATGATAGGCTGCCCGCGCCGGCTTCGCCTGGCTTTAGCGCCTTGCCCTTGGAATACGTCTGGCTCTCCAGCTGCTGCCTCAACCTGTTCTTAAAGCAAGCCCCGTCAAGTCTTGGAGCTTCATCTTGCCCCACCCTCTTGCTCACCCCCAGCTGGCCCTTCGCCCACCCGCGCTTCTACAGCCGGGTGGCCACGCGTTCATGTGCCCAGAAAGCGGCTGTAGCAGTGGCCCTGGGACAGTTCCCCAGTCCGCAGCCGTGGCTGGCTAGGCGTGAACCTTCCCCACGCCTGGCCCTGGAGTAAGTACGGAGATCAAAGGAAGCCTCTAAATGAAATAGACCCTGGCCGAGGCCGGCTTACAACAACAAACGGAAATCATAATAATTATTAAAAAAAAAAAAAAAAAAAAAACTGGCTCTGCCTGTCTCACTCCGGTGGCACATATCTGTGAGAACTGCACCCAGGTGTCAGACCCACGGCGGAAAGACTTAAGCTCCGAGCTCCGTTGAAGTATGCCTCGCGGCAAGCGACGAGAGGCCACCATGTGGCCCTGCCATGGTCTGGACAAATCCTGAAAGGATCACCACCTGGGAACAGTTGGCCTGGATGAGTGACCCCTGGCTGATTAGGTGTCCCACAGAACACGGAATTCTTCAATTTGTGGGGGACAATCCGACACACTGCCTGAATCAACTATTTAGGTGCCAATTCCGGAAGCACTCCTTGAAGAGAGTTTGCTGCCATCGACTTGTAGTTTCGGAAACTAAAACGACGCACATTAGCAAAGCAGTTTCCGAGGGACCTTGGGAACGCAGGGCACGCTGAACTCCGAAACTTGTGAAGAACTCCGCCGTACCGCTCCAATGGCAATGGGACTGACTGTCCGTTGGCCATGGGTCAAAAGCCAAAATCGTACCCCCAGTGAACATCCCAATCCCCACTAAAATAGGTTCTAAAATGGGTCGTGCACCTATCCCAATATGCCACCATTGGTTTTGAACCATGGCCACCTGAGTTTTGATGTGGCCCACGTGAAACCAACGCAGTTGCATTCCGATCCCTGCCTCGCAGGGCGACTGGCCGCCAGGGGAACGAAGGGAGCGCGGCGTGGTGTCTTGGGACCTGGAGTACGCGTCTTGCGCGGGCCAAAAACAAGCTATGTACATATAAAAAATGCACAATGTCATCTGTCATACAGTCATAACATACTCATAATGAGCATTCATACGCATGTTTAGAACACATGATCCTCAAAGGCTGTCCAAAATGGGTCCCTGTTGCTGAAGCATTGAAAAAGGACGGCCTCCCCCCTTCTTTCTGTAGTTGCGGTTGTTCTTGTCCACGTCCACATCATAATCGAACCGCTCGTGCTAAAGAGATCCACAAAGGGTGCTTTTTGGTGGCGCGGAGGCTGTCCCCCCTGCCTTCATCTAGCAGAGTTGCGCCAACGGGTAAGTGCAAAGTCTCAAAACGGGTTCCTCTGCCGTGAGAAGGCCGAAAGCGGATACGAATGGATAGCAACCAAACAAAGGGCCAAGCCCGCTTGGGTCACAATAAAAGCCTTCGAGGTGGCCGTCTCCTCCCTCGGGTCGCCGTTCTTGTGACTCGCTCGGGATGTTCGCAAGCGTACAAGAGACGCAAAAAACGGGGCCAACTCAACAAGAGGCCATGTGAGCTGCTACCTGCCTGAGGGGCAAACAATTCTCCTTTCAATTCGTTGAGTCCTTGCTGATTTGTAACCTTCAAACAGGGCACCTCAATTTGGCTGTGGCTCAAAAAACCGGAACCAAAGTCAACCCTGGTAAGTGGAAACATGGACCAAAACCTGCGTAACCCCACCTGTTTGACTTTGAGCCACACCCATTTGTATCCTTCAAACAGGGCACCCTCAATCCCCCCACCTTTCAGGGTGAGAGTCCTGTTTGACTGGTGAGGGAAGGACACGCCCAAATTCGGGGAATCGGGTCGCGGAAGTTCCACCTCCCAAAGTAGGCATTCGTTGGAACGGTCAATTCGTCGACTGGGGATGTGGAAATCCGATTCGACTCAGGCTCGACCCTTCAAGCCCCAAAATGACGCTGGTGGAATGACCAATGACCCCCCACCCTGGACCCAGGTCAGCCGGGCCGGGGGGGCAGTGAAACATGTTCCTGTTCCCTTTGCTGGTATGACACCGACGCCGACGCCGACGCCGACCGAGCCTCTGAAGAGGAAACAAGTGGCTTCCAAAGGGCTGACTCACAGCCCCAAGTCGAGACTCGCCACTTCTGGTGGCTGGTACAAGCGCCTTTCACTTGAACTAGTTGTGAGATTTACAATCCCGCATCTAACTAAAGTGGTGGCCAAGTACCAACCTTCAATTACCAGGTGTAGGGCTCAGAGGTGTGCTTCTGTGCCACGAGGGTCAACAGAACAAGCGCAAGGCTGTTGTAGAGGGTCCTGTAAAAAACAAAAGACTGCCAAGGGTGCTTTGCAGAGAGTCCTAGCAAACAAGCCCCCCAAATAAGTCAAAGCATCGCCCAGTGTCCGTCTTGCGGCACAGAGCCGGCCTGGGGAAGGTATTGCGAGTGGGCAGCGGCAGCTTCATCTGGGAGGCCATGGCGCACAAATCCTCGGGGCTCGAGCCTCCCGAAGACAGGGAGACTTCGCAGAACCTATTGCCCACTCACGTATCGGTAACCCTAGGATCCAGCCGATCCAGCCGGCTGAAAGATTGCCCCGAGAGACCCTGCCCTTATACAACCCGGGCCGGGTACATCAAGGCTTTGGCTCGGGGCAAATAACCCACGAAAAGAAACCCCGTGTTGGTGCGCGAAGCAGAGGTGCGAATGACCTTCAATGCCTTGGCCCTGACTCCGGACCAAATGAGCGCCAGGAGTCAAGACAAATGCGTCACGCGGAGTTTACAGAAGCATCCAATTTCCTCATCGCATGCTCTGCACTGTGAGGGGGCTCTTCAATTTTCCCCACGTGAACCAGAATATACACTCGCGGCAAGGTTTCTATGCCCTTCATTCGACGTGCAAACCAAAATGCTTGGCTTGGGATTTCGCACCACACGCCAGCATCTACCGGGTACTACCAGTTCTGTGGTTTCACACTCAAAGTCGCCCCCGCATACAACATGGCTGACGGATCATTCGGCTGGGACCCAACCTGATGTCATCCCTGGGTCGCCTTAGGTTGCAGGTATGAGGGGCCTGAGGGCAGACTTGTCATCATTTGGGTTATGATAGTTCCCTACGAGCCCTTGCAACGAGCCAGACGAGTCCACGACCATTTCCAAAAACCACCAGTGAACATGACTGTTCCTCCACAGCACATGAATGAAATATGGTGTACCCGACAAAGAAACATGGATTTCTTAAAGAGTCACCTGGAGATTTGGCGGCTGGTCCCCCTTCTCGTCCTGAACCCACTCACTACCCCGTCGCCCCGCGTCCCCGCAGACCAGCCGCGCGGTCGGGGGCGGTCTCAATGAGGCAGCAATACTTGGGTCTCTCAAAAGCAGCTGCGCAAGGACAACTCCTCGTGTAGCGGAAGACGGCGTGAATAGGTCGAAACGAACTGTTTGCCACACTTTACAGGGACCAGCACGAACCATGCCCTGTTTCGGTGAACAAATTCCTTGCAGCAAGCTACAGCATGCTTCAGCTCGGCTTTGAATAGATGGCTTGGATCCGTACCATGGAAAGGTCGGACGCAAACCAACCCCTAATCTCAAGTGACACATGATGACCCCCAATGCATGCTTCCTTTAGCAGGTAGAACCCAAAAATTGGGGGAGGGGGGGTCCTGCTTGCTTCCTCCTTCAAGCCATCTGAAACAAGCTTTCACTTGGTACAGCAACTGCACTGGATATGTCAAACATCGCAGAACGTGCATTGACGACGATGCATAGTCGCCTGGCCCCCAATCAAACGCTGCCAAAAGTTCCTCCCCATGAGGGGGTCTCAATAGGCTTGTTCCCACGAAACAGGAACACCCCAAAAGGTTCAATGCGTACCAGGGCAAGGACCTTCTTGGCCGTCCTTTTCATGGTAACGCCGCCCTGGTTCCCATAAAATGAATTTGCGTGGGTGTCAAAATAGGGGGCTCCCAAAGTTAGACCGCGTTCCCTTCTGGCTTTCCCTTCGGAGCAACACCAAAACGAGTACCCTCCAAAAGAACATGGGCGACGGCCTCCCGGCAGGCCGCAGTGATCTTCGGCACCTCCAGCAGCGCCAGCCAGTGGTTGGAGGACCTAACGAACTTTGGGGCAACACAACCCGTCGCAAAAGACCTTCACCATAAGGCTTCACCTCTTTTTGGGCCTTCCTTTTAAAAGATCCCATTTTTTGCTGCTTTGGCCGGAAGCCGGGACATCTGGTTACAGACCTGTGGACACCCAGCTCGTGCAGCGCTATACTTCCAGACCTAACCGAGCTAAGACCCAACGGTTGCGAGCTGGGGCCCAAAGCAAGGCGATTGCTCAAGCCTCTGGATTGGCCTTCCCCGCAGCCAGTGCGAGATCCCGATCACTTCGGGACGATGCGCATTAGCGCATGTGTGTCACTGTCATCCACCCGACACTCAGTGGGTTGGCCACAGGCCCCCGCAAGCTATGCGGGGATCTTCAGGTCTCCTGCCCGCTGCTCCGCTGCGAGCCCTACACGCGGCAAACGGTGTGCACGCCGATAGGTTGTAACGCGGCGTGGTATGGTTCTCCGGGCCTTGAGACACTGGCAGGCCATGTTCCAAGTCTCTGCCTGTCCCGGGATGTATCTCAAGTTGCTGCCTCTCCTTCGAGAGATACCGTCAGTCAATGAACCAACCAACGAGTCTATCCCTCAAAACAAGCAAAACAAATAACATCAACCAATCGCTCAAAGCAAGCAAGCAAGCAGGCAAGCAAGCAAACAAAAACAAGACGGCCAAGCAGGCAAGCAGGCAGGCAGGCAGGCAGGCAGGCAAACAGACAAAGAGACAGACAAACAGACAGGACAGGACAGGACAGGACAGGACAGGGCAGGACAGGACAAGACAGGACAGGACAGGACAGGACAGGACAGGACAAGACAGGACAGGACAGGACAGACAAACAAACAGATTCATAACGAAGAGATTCAAAACCAAATATCACTGAGAGCCGCACTTGAGGTGGTTCAGAATGTTCTGCCACTGCTTCTCCACATCGAAGAAGCCTCGAAACCGCGAGCTGAGGGCTTGGCCAAAGGCCGTTCCTTGCCACTTTCAAGGGGATTTTCTTCCAGAAACGGACCCTCACCCCGATTGACATCCGATACATGTGTGAGAGTTTTAATTGCTTGGTCCACTGTGAATATGTGGCTCACATGTCACGTTGCGCTTATGTCGGCTTCAGCCTGGTTTGCGTACCCAAAAACCCCGTTTCCAAGGGCGCAATCCAAAACCCAACGAGTAAAAGGAGCTTCAAGTCGCTTCTATTTACGGCTGGGATGACCCCTTCCACGTCTGTCAAGGGCTCGCCACAATCAGGTTCACACTATATAAATGACTTCGGCTTCAAGGCTGTGGGGATTGCGTGCGAGCACTTCTGCGATACCACTGGGACAACCCTTTCACAACTCGAACAAACCAATCTCCCCGACGCCGAGCCAAGAAGCGCTTCCACTCCTTGTTGCGCTCCACGTCTCTCTGCATCAAGTCCTGGCACGTATCAGTCAAGAATGAATGCCCCGTTAAAGGGACTGGAACCCAAGAGAAAAGAACCCGGAATGAAACGCCGCTCTGGAAAAGCTTTTTGAAAGGGATGAACCAGCCACGTGAAAGGGTTTCTCTCTTCGGGCATGTTCCATTTGAGAAACACCCGCTGCTCGACGACATGACGTCCTTCACCAGGCCCTCTTGTACCAATTGCTCCCGGGCGCAAAGGTAGCCTCAGCCAGATTCCGTTGCTGCAGCTGCGAGGCGGCCGTGTTAGGCAAACCCATTCCCTTGACTTCCCACGGAACCCAAACAAAACGACTCCGGATCCATGAGCCTGTGCGCCTCTCCTGTGTTGGACACCACATGGGGGCCATGGAGGTCATGAATTGACTGCTTCCACCGAAACTCGCCTCAAGTCACCTCCTCGCAGAGAATTTGAAGTATCTCCTGAAATAGGGGACCCACAAACGGGGGGTCCGGCCCGTAGGGTCCTGCCCGTGGTCTCACGCGCGATCGAACATCCCCCAAGGGCGTCGACCGTACTGTGACTCGTGGATCAGGTCACAGAGCTCTCCAATGGCCTGGCGCACCAAAATCCTAAAACCACCGCAGTCGTTGGGCGGCGCTTTGGATCCGTGCAAACATCACCTGGTGA